TTTTTTTTTTTTTTTTTTTTTTTTATAAGCTCGCTTGCTTACAGAAAAATTTTCAAGGAGGAGTCCTATCCGTCCGAGTATATTCTTGGACTGGCACTATGGGCAGATAGTGTCTATTCGCCAATGAACATTCTTTTGTCACGTGATCACCTTAAACCAATAACAATCGGGGAAACTTTAGTGGCCAACTATAAGAGGCGGTAGTTTGATAAAACGGACTTTTTTCGAGCGTTTGTTCCAGAACTGCTAAAGTTGTGTATATCAGCTGTGTAAATAATACGGAAAACTGTGGAAACACTTACCTGTCGGCACGTGTTCCCACAAGATTTGTCATTCTCCCAAATTCTCTCTCGATAGAAACACAGAACATGTTTTCTATTTCTTAAATATCGATTAGACTGATAACTGTCTGTCTAAACCTCTAGTATCCAAATAGTCTAATATTAATCCCTTAGTATTGGACATTTTTATATTCAGCAGCTCGAAGGTGAGTCAGCTGGTTACGCTCCACATAGACTCAAAACAAACTGCTGTTCTCTGTCACTTGGGAGATTTTGGATGTGGAGATGGAGGATGGACGCCGGTCATGAAGATTGACGGCAACAAGGTATGGCATTTACAGGCTTTTTCTTAGAGAGCTGAGCGCTGCAAAATTTAATGGTTTTCGAGAAATGGGCAGACAGATCGCCCACGTTTAACTGATCGATAACTGATGAGATTACAGCTCCCTTATCACGACTCGCACGAAGAAAGAAACCGAACGTTTTTTGGAAAGTTATGCTCATAAGATGAACCTCAATGCCGCGTTTTATAATGTTATAATTTTCGATTGTTCACAAACGTTTCTTTCGCAGATATTGCACAATTCATAAATTGTAAAATTTCTTTGACCACATTTTTTTTGTAATAAACGGTACAGAAATTATTTATTTCTATAGTATTGTGTGAAGTTCGTAAAGGCTGGTTTCCATACAATATATAATTGCGTGCACTACGATCAATGGAGGGTAGTATCCATATCAGAACGATCGCTGAACGCTAAATAAATAAATAAAACAAATAAATAAATAAAACAAATAAATAAATAAATAAATAGATAAATAAATGGATAAATATGTACAGAAAATATTAATTAATTAATTAATTTTAATATTTAGATAGGAAGCCACATCATTCTTAACTGGTTTCATGCGGGTTCTCTATTAAAATTTGGAGATGTTGGTTTTTATGGAGGGAGGAAAACCGGAGAACCGGGAGAAATTCCCTTAGAGCAAGACGAGAACCAGCAACAAACTCAATCCACCGGGCCGGAATCGAGCCCCGGCCACATGGGTGGGAAGCAAGCGCTCCCACCACTGCTCCATCCCTGCTCCTCAGTTCCTAGCAGCGATCGTGGTGATCATATGGTAAAAAAGACTCTACTGACCAGTTGCTTTCAGACAATAGTTTGTTCCCTGTCAATAAATAAATAAATAAAATAAATATATAAATAAATAGCTTTATCAATTAAACTAAAATTCAGTAAGGTCCATACTGTTATATGAATATTTTACGCCATTTTTCTTTTCAGAACACGTTTCATTATGGCTCAGGGTACTGGAGCAATAAAAGCGAATACAACCTTCCCGGAGGGGAGACTGGGTTTGATGCACAGGAGACCAAGTTACCGACCTACTGGAACACATCTTTCACCAAGATCTGTCTTGGTATGAAGATCGGGCAACAGATTAACTTCATTGTCATCAACAAGCAGGCCAACTCTCTGTACTCACTGATCGCTGTGACCAATACCGCGCTACCTCACTGGGACGTAACACGTGGAAGACGCTGATTGGGTCACAGGCCTCCTTACAGATCAACTGTAACAAGGAAGGGTTCAATGCTGTGGGTACTTCTTCTTCCCATTCGAAAGCAAGAATCGGCATCATTAATAACGAGCAAAATGACTGCGGTTCTTGTGATTCCAGAATCGGGTTTGGTACAGGAGGGTATCCTGATGACTCCAACACGTGTGGAAACGCTGCCGTTGCCAGTGCCATGTGTTACATCCTGGTGCAGTAAGACGAAAACTGACTTAGAAATTTTAGAAACCAGTAGGCGATTGCCTGATCAATAGAAAACATAAATGTGAAGCTCGCATATTGATCATCGTAGTGTGTCAGTATATGAAACAGCTGTCAAGTATATAACAAATAATCTAAATGTGCTGGGAATTGACTTGTGTAACCGATATCTGAGTGCTTTACACGCATGCTTTGCATATACGGATGTGCTCAACCCTTAAGATTCAAGCAATTGATGTTCACCCTCGAAAGTCTGGAAACTTTTTAAAGTAAGCTTTCTTCTAGAGGGAGAGGAATATTTATATGTCTATGTCGATGCTCTTGTACACCATTGATTTTCTCGCGCGAAGTGCATATCGATATTACTAGTAGTAATCAAGGATTATGAGAGTGCGTTCGACGCCGTCGCTTTAATATATATAGACCTTAAATAAATGATTTCACTAGCTGACTTTCAACCTCTGTCTATTGCTAAATCAACACTTTTCATCATCAACACAGGTTTTACAGACAGATATATCATAGTGCCAAAGTTCATGCCAGTGTTAAGGGGTCCCCTGTATGAACCACGATTTGTTGATACTTTGCGTAGCGGCGCCAGTTTCCGTAGACTTACAAGTCTAATAGAACTAAAATATTTACATCAGCCTTCAAATTTCGTGCTAAATATCCTCACATTAGCTGGTAATGTTTAAGCGTAAAAAACTAATTTGTAAAAGTATATTCTTTTACGTACATTATTCTAAGCTGGAAGCACAATTTTTTTTTTTTTTTTTTTTTTTTGACAAAACAAGTTTTTTATGTCCATCCAAATACATTGTTTCATCAGAGGTTCAGTCTATGAAGTTTAAAAACATGGTTTTTGAGTGTCATGCTTTTTTTTCAGGGTTTTGTGATGTGTCATTCAATAGCTGGTGGAACAGGATCTGGAATGGGCTCATACCTCTTGGAAAAACTAAACGACAGGTAGTGTTAAATTTCATTGCTATCAATCAACATATAACCTGCAGGAAGTGGAAATCCTGGGATCTATTTGAGAAATAGCTGTGTCAAGGAAAATAATGCAATATTTCTGTCAAAACCAGGAGATTCAGTTACCTGTAAGATGCTTACCAAAAATTGTGTGTGTAGTGATTTGCGTTTGTTTCGTCTTGAAAATGATGTAAAGATGAAAGAAACTAAGAATGTTATTATTATCTCTTTTCTTATTTTCAACAGGTTTCCAAAGAAGTTGATTCAAACATACTCAGTTTTTCCACAGCAAGTAAGATGCCTTTATGGTTGTTTCTATTTCATTTTGATGTAACCTAATTTTGAGAATAATCACAAACCAACAGTCACTATATTTCTGAAAGAGCTGTCTTTCTGTATACATTTTTGATGTAACCTAATTTTGAGAATAATCACAACCCAACAGTCACTTTATTTCTGAAAGAGCTGTCTTTCTGTTTTACAGGAAGACATCAGTGAAGTTGTAGTACAGCCATATAACTCCATACTCACGCTCAAACGTCTTACACAAAATGCAGATTGTGTGGTAGGTGTACTTACTACTTGTACAAAATTCAAGAACTGTTACATCACTCTAACTAGCAGAAGGTAATTGGTTGTAAACTTCTTATAAAACTTAAATATTAATTCAAATAGATAAATAAATTTCTCTTCATGAAACATTCTTTGAGTGGTCTAGAAAATGGTCCATAGAAAAATGAAACACTGAAAATTAAAAAAAGGTCACGACAAAGCTACAAGTGTTTGCCTCATGTAGTCTTAAGCTGGTCAGAAGTAAAGTGACATATCCATGAGAAACTTGTATGATAGAAACGTCTTATTTGTTGTTCTATAAAATCCATACCCTCAGCTCAGAAGGTTTTTTTGATTGAATCCTCCTCCCTTTTGGAAATTTCAGTGTAGCTTCATACTTTCTTTTAAATGTTCTGGCTTTTGAGATGCCCATACCCTCTGCATTTCCAATGACCTTTGATGGGCCAGTGGTAGGTGGGGATATTTTCTAGAACAGCACGATCTAATTTTTGATAAATGATGAGTGTCTGTCGAATCTCACCTATAGTATTACATAACTACATGTATACAATAAATTTCTTTGTTGCCTTTGAAGGTTGTACTTGACAATACAGCTCTAAACAGAATAGCTGCAGACAGGCTTCACATTCAGAATCCCACATTTTCTCAAGTGAATCAACTGGTAGGCAGAGACATTTTGAATATTTTATGTTGGGATTCCTTATACCTGCATGCAGGGGATACCCACCAGATCACATCCAATGCAACAGAGAAAAGAAAAAAAATTGAATGTAGTGACAGCATTTGGAGCAAGCAAACATGGGTCAAAGAAGTGTAGACAACTTTCTATCATTTGTTTGTTAATTATCAAAGTGCAGAGCTATGTAGGCAATCACTAGCTTTCCAAGAAATGCCTCTCCAACTGGTTTTAAACATTACAAAATTCTGGTTTATTGGTTTCACTTTTTGTGAACAAGAAGAAAATGTAATTTTTAAATGCCACCTGTGGATTCTCTGAATACAGATTCTATTTGACAATTTCTTTCCAGGTATCCACAATAATGGCTACCAGTACAACGACTCTCAGATATCCAGGTAAGGGATAGATTGGTAAAAAAAGAGACTTAGTTACAAAGTGATGCAAAAGTAACACGTAAAGTTACTGTTTCCTTTTTTCCTTTAGTTTAAAAATTTGTGGCATAAGAATGCAGCCAAGGCAAATGAATCTCCTCCCTCATGGCTCAAAGTGAACTGTTGTTCTTTTGTAGTTGAAGCAAGACGATGGATTCAAATCATGCTAAATGAACAACTTTTTTTTCAGGTTACATGAACAATGATCTCATTGGTTTGATTGCATCACTAATTCCCACTCCACGGTTGCATTTTCTGATGACTGGTTACACTCCACTTACTACTGATCAAAAGGTATTTTACTTACAAGTCTAAATGTCTGTTACTTTGCTACATGTATATAT